TGACCCTTTTACCTCTCATAGGTTTGGGACCCTAAGCATCCCCTCCTTGATGACTACACTGGGTGGGTAGAATCACCTTGGAGGAAATGGTCCTGAAGATATCCAGAATATGAGCCATAAATGTATTGGCACCTTGAATTGCTCTTGGAAACCTGCTGACAGCCAATGCAGTGACCATAGCACTGGTGTTATGCTGCTAAAACAATTCACATATATCAGCAGCTAGGCTACTGCATGTTGGATCAACTGTAGTTTCTGGTTGACACCAGAGGTCACCCCATGTAGACCATGTTACAACATGTGGTGATAAAGGCAGAGCTTCCCTGTCCAAAATGGGTAGCAACTAGGGGACCAGCTGAAGCTGGGCAAAAAGCTCCCTGGCCACATTCTCCAGCTGCTACTGGAGTGGGACCTTTGAGTCCAGGAAAAACCCCAGGCCGTGGACCTGTTCCTTCAGCTGAGATATAACCTGAGCCAACTGAAGAAAAGCTGCTTCCATACAAACAGAAACTCCAACTTGCAGGGATTTATACAGAAAACAGATGTGGATGGCTATTTTTATGCATATTTAGCCGTTCCTATTAACACACAATTATTTCCTTGCTAAAATAATTGTATAATTAACTCAAAGGAAAAACTGAGAAACATTCTGGTAAAATGCTAAGTAATCTTTTTAAGATGAGGAAAATTCCACAAGCAGAAAGAATAAGAGATTATTCTTATTAACAACAATTACAATTAGCTGTTTCCACCGTTTGACAAAGCCATCTTACGTGTTAATCATGCAAAATAATGTCTAATACAAGACAACCCTCATTGTACCCATTCATTTTGTGCAGCTTCTCCACCTCTGCCCTTAATCTCCAAATATAGTACGTGGATAACACCATGAAGGAAGAACACAATAGATTGAGCCCCCGGTTTGCTTAACTGTGATTTACTGAATAAGCTACAATTGGCTGGGTTCCCATCTGACAACAAATACGGTTTGCAAATCAGAATGACAGAGCCAAAACCAAGTAACGTAAGTACCAATAATTGTAGAACGCAATGCGTACAGGCTTCTGTACAACTGAGAACAGGTCTAAGTGAAGCACTGAAGACTTTTTCATTTGTGGAGACCTCTTCGCAGTTCAGTTATGTATGGAGGCCTATAACTTTTTTTCCACTCTCTTCCATTCATAGTATCCCACTAGGAATTTTTCCTGTGATATTCACTGGCCTATCAATGTAGATTTTAGGTCCTGAAAATATATTTATTAATCAAATTTATATGGCTTCCTATCTCACCATGATAAATGAATAAATAAATAAATAAATAAATACTTGAACGAATAGATGCTTATGTATTTCTCAATAAAATATGGCATGTGAGATAAGCGTAGATCAAGGCATGCCACAGTTGGGTGCAAATAGTGTTCTCATACTTTCCAAATGAATTAAATGTGTTGTCTCCAGTCATAAGAAAATTAGCTATTAATTAAATAGCTCATAAAATTAATGACTTTTATAGTGGAATCCTATGTATCTTAGTAAAGTCTGTGTTAAATGTGTTTTATTTCCCTGCAAGCAAACACAAAACTGCAGTTTTAAATTACTTATATCTAATTTGGTCCACTGATTTAATTGGAATTTATTTTCTATGGCTCACTGGATAGTATGTCCATACTACCTTATTTCAAAATTAGAATTCAAACCTAAAGGATTAAAATCTCTCTTTCTGTTAGGAAATGAACATTCTTCTGGGGTTTAAAGGGATTTTTTTTTAAGTAACCCAGCATATTCATTCTTTAGATAAACTTTGAATACAGGAGGATTATAATAAAACAACCTTATCAATATTATAACAAACAAAGTCTGGAACATTGGCTAATGACAGCACTCCAATGCAAATATCAGTTATATTTTTGTTTTGCAACTGACCTTGTCTTTGAGCTCCGCACAGATAAATTCATCATGTTATCAGTTCTTCACTGCAAAAAGAAAAGGTCCTATTCACTCTGCATGTTAAACTCATGGGCAGCCACAATTATCCAAGTAAAGGAATCAAACTGGGGGGAAAAAAATTAAAAAGGCTTTTTTCTTTGCTTAGATGGACTGTCCAATGCTTATTTGTTTAAGAGTTCTCCAAATCATGTTTGCTGAAATTAGTAATAATTTATATGTGAGCCCTTACAGAGAATTGGCAGGCAAGTGTTATTCATAACCCCACTTGTGCCATTTTTTTCCCTGCAAATGTTCCCATTCCAGTTAGGTGCTTGTGCTTACTTACACACACACACACACACACACACACACACACACACACCTAGAAACAGCTGGTCTTAATCTATCTTGAAAACCCTTCCAGGGGAAGAAAAATGAATTTAAAAAAAAAAACTGGGAAGGGGTCATCAAAGGGAGAATGAAGCAGCTACCTTAGGTACCTTACTTTGGATAGCGTGAGAAGCCACAAAATTGATAGCAGTTAATTCATTATCATAATATTTCTACAGTCAGGAACGCATCCCTGGGATTTTCGGTCTCAAGAGCCAAAATAACTTGACTGGCCTTGAATACTATAGATTTTGGCTTATATGTGTAACTGTGTGTATGTAGGAAACTATTATAGGCTGCCCTGCCACTTACGTAGCAAAATTGCTTGGGCCAGCCCTGCCAAAGAAGGGCCCCTGTTTTTTTCCCTTAGCTAAGTGTTTTCAAAAGAACCCTAGGGTTAGGGACAGTATGTTTTCCTTGTAACATAAAATCTTGCCTTAAAAAACAAAGAACTAATGTGCTGATTATATTTTTTGCAAATGCTAAGAAGGAAGCCAGAATAGTTGGCCTATTGCAGGTTTAGGTAGTGGCAAATATCTGAATGGTCCTAATATGAGGACAAGGTTAGTAAATAAATTTTTAAAAAATGCAATTCTGTACCATTATTTATATTTAGCAGTCTCTATACTGGTTTCTAACTATAGGAAACTACTGCTATGTTTCTTTGGCAATGATCCAGAAATGGTTGGTCATTAGGGCTGTGCAATCCTTTGGAAGAGGAACTCTGGGAAATGTGAGAGAACCACAAACCCAGCACCTGCCAACAGCCCATTAAAGCAGCCATGTCTTTCCCCAGGATTACACATGCGGAGAGGCTGCTTCTGAGATTGTTTTCTTTACCTCCAATTCTATTGTTCACTCCGTGTATTTCCTGATGGTCTCCCATACAAGCCAAGTACTACATTGGTATTTAAACCCCTGCATTAATTTGATTACATTGGGTACAGGTTTTTACAATCTAATTTAAATGTATTTGTCAACTGCTTGATTTATCAAATAATAAGCCTACATGTTTACTTTTTACCCTGGAGCTCTTTCTTATTCTGCATGCTTACCCCAAGTAAATTCCATTCTATTATCCCAGTATGTATAATGGGATTGTACCCTTCAGCTACAATCTAGTATATACTTATCTGGGATAAGTCCCATTGAATTCAATGCAACTTAGTTCTGAGTAAGTATGTACAGTATTGCACTGTTAGCTGTGGTTACTCAAGATATTGGTATTAGAGGGATATACTTTAGTATCTTCTAGATTTACTTCTAGGCCTCTTACTACATTCTTGTTTGGAAGGATGGATTTTGCATCTATGCTCAAATGTAGCCCTGCCATTTCCCCAAAAATCTTCTGATGAAATCCAGGCTGGGGAGAAGGAATGTTGCAGGTAAAATGAAACAAACTAAAATATGCCTTTTGTATACAGTCTGGCTCATAAAAAAGAAAAATGTTCACTCCTCTCCACTATGAGGGGTCTTCTCATCTGCCTGTATCTTCTTCCAGTACAGTATCTGGCAAAGTTAATCAGTTTACTGTAAAACACATCTTTCCCACTTTCTGTCCTTCTTTAGATTTTAAGAGAAAGCACCATACTCGTTTGTGTCAACTGCAAAAACACTTCAGATTCCCTGAAGTTGCACATTTTCCTGTTATAAATTATCTCAGTGCTTTTACAGCTTTTTCCCCCCATATTGTAACATTTGCTTAATAAATATGTATTCTAACAGCATCATCTGAAGCTCAGAATCTTTCTGCCATGAAATTTGGTGACAGGTTATATTGCTTTTAGAAAACGTTTCAAGCCAGCGCTGTCAGATTCCTCCCATCATCCCCAGCCAATATGATTCCAGTGGCTGGGGATAAGGGGTACTGCCGTTCGACAAGCTGCAAAGTTGGGCTTTGCTAAGCTTACGTTAGGGCTATGACAACCGATTTCAGTCTGAAGGGGCCGTCGTGGTCTACCTGTAAAGGTCAGATGGGGTCCCAAGCCAAGAAGGAGTCGCCTTCCAGCTTTCCCAAAAGCGCGGGCTCCCGCAAACGCCGCCTGCTGAGCTGGATCCGGCGCAGCGCGTCGCCCTCACGCCCTTGAGAGTTTTCGGCCTAAGCGCCGCGCTGCAGCGGGCAGGCAGACTGCAGCTCGACTGCTGCTGTGCCCAGGCCCCGGCGTTAGGAGGAGCAGCAGCGAGAAGCGTTTCTTTTTCCCTTTCCTCTCGATCCTGCTTTCTCAGGGGAAGGCGCGGAGGAAGGGGAAAAAAAAAAACTCAGAGACCGGCCTGTGTCAAAGGAGGCCACGTGCTTAGCGCGGCGAGGGAAAGCGGCAGGCAAAAGGAGGCGAATTTCTTTTTAAAAAGAAGAGCGGGGTGGCGCGGCCTTTTCCCCGGCCGGCTTCCTCCCTCCGCTAACAGCAAAGCCGGCCCCTCTCCCACTCCTCTCTGTCCGCGCAGCCCAGGAAAGAAGAGGCGGAGGAAGAAGGGGAGGCGGCGAGCGGCAGCCGCGCAGATCCTGTGCGTTCTCCACGCCGGGAATGTGCGGTTGCTTCCCACTGTCCTCCCCCCTCCGGCTCCCATCACTTTCCGGCGGCCGGCTCGCCTAACTCGGGCTGAGGCGGGGCGCTCGAAGATCAAGTGGGTGGGGTGGGGTGTTTTTTTCCTCGGGGTTCTGATAATGGAAAAAGTGCCCATAGATATTTCTGGCGGCGGAGGTAATGGTGCCGCCGGCGTCCCTCCTCCTTTTTTTTCCACCAGCGGCAGATTATTGTGTGGGAGGAGGGCAGGAGCGGCGGTGGCGACAGGGATGGACTTGGTGTTTGGGATTTCTTGCTAAAGGGAGCAACACAGCCGCTCCACGCACCAGACCAGAAAGGAGGCAGACGCAAGTGGAGCCGCTGCTGGTCGCTGCTGCTGCCTGATGCCTCGCCGCCTCGCTCAAGAAAGCCAGAAGCCTCGTTTTTAAAGAAGACTTCGCTTCTTCCGCCCCTCGCCGCCGCCTGCTCCCCACCTGGTAGCTTCCCCGCTCCGGCAGATGTGTGTGGGGTCGCTGCACAGCTGGGACTATGGTGAAATTTCCGGCGCTCACCAACTATTGGCCCCTCATCCGCTTCTTGGTCCCTTTGGGCATCACTAATATCGCCATCGACTTCGGGGAACAGGTAAAAAGCTATGCGCAGCCCAGCAGTCTCTGTCTTTTCCTTTTTATTGGGAACTTTATTATTAATACTGTGATTAACATCTCCTTTAATAGTGAAAGTACCGCGCAGCGATGGAAATAGTTGCAAGGTTGCCAAAGTGGTGCTTCGTGCCAATCTATTTTTAGGCTCCCTAATGCTGAGTGATGACAAAACGCGACAACGAGCTCCTTTTCCTGGAGAACCAGATTCGCGGCCGGATGGCAACAAAGCGCCGGCTAGATAGTTGAATGTCAGGAGGCCAGCCGGCTCGTCCTTCCTAGGAGTGGAGGACGAGCCAGAGGGGTTGTCACCTAGGATTGATTATTGCAAGACGATTCATTGGGGAGAGGAATGTAAAAAGCTGCAGAAGAGAAATAAACGGAGACACAGTAGACCTCCCGGAGGGTGGCGGCGGGGGAATTATTACGGCGACGTAAATCTGATTGCAAACATCTGTTCATTATATTATCTTTAGGGGAGGCTCCCCACTCCTGGGTCTTACCTACTATTGTGTGTTGCAAAGAGTAGCCGAAATCTTATGTAATGCAAGATGAGCCAGAAAAGCTGCTTGCGGCATGCAGGGAAATGAAGTTGCTTGCAATTCCATTAAATAACGATTGCATGTGTATTCATTTATTAGAACACCTGAGTTTGGTTGACCTGTCTGGGTGGGGGCAGGGTATATTAGGCCCAAGCTCTCCTCAGTATGGAGGTGGTGATTATGGCAGTTGCACAAGGTTTTGTAAAAAAATCAAATCTTAAACTTATTCACAGCTCAGCCTTTTTTGTTTCCTTGAAAGTAAGCTATGCTGTAAGAGGGCTTACCACCACCCCATAAAAATGGACAGATTCACAGCCTCTCTTGTTGATTTCTTCACCCACACCCCTTCCCCAGTTCTTTGAGACAATTAGTTATCATTAAAGATTCTGGAACTTCTTGCATGTTCACAAACGAATCATATTTGCATCCTCCCCCCTCATTGCATCATACAGTAGACAGCTACAACCCTGCCATTGCTGATAGCAGGTGGTAGGAAAGTGAATGGCTCCAGTTCCGGCTGCTTCAATTAATCTGTCCTTGAGTGACTGAAGATGCCATGAAATGGCATTAGGAAGGGGTGTGTTTGGAAATGGAGAGAAAAGCTGCATAGAGATCTTAGGAACAAGGCCTTCCTTGCTAGGGCTTGTGGGAAGTGTGCTGTTGCTTTAAGGTTGGCCACACCTGTTAGTTTTTATTGGCAAACTAAGACTTAGTAGATTTAATTGATCAGCTTGTTTGAGGGAGGACTAGCCTGTACTGACATGCTGCAATCAAGATTTGTGAGTTTGGCCATGCTTGTCTGCTTCTGAACTCCTGCAATGGGTGCCAACCTTTAACTATGTCAGTGTAATAAATGGAGGAGAGCAAGCTGTGTTCTCTCAGTATTTGCATCCATCTAGGGTGTCTCCTTTCAAAGGTGAACTCTACTTAGCACATCTGTGATTTTAAATGTAGATCTTTACTGCCTATCCACTGATTAAATATAAATGTAACAATGGATTTTACATTGTCAGCTCAATTAATCAGGATGCTGGATTACCTGCAGCAGGGACGGAGAACCTGGATCTCAACAACAGGTCCTAGTGTTGTTCATCACTTGCTATGCTGGCTGGAGTTCTGTTAGTTGTAGTTCAGCAATATTTAGAGGGCCAAATGTTCTCCTCCCTGGTACAGTGCTATCAGTTTATACTTTTTAATTACCTGAGTTTTCTTGCTGTTTAATTCATGAAATAGCTCTTGTTTCTGCATATCAGTACATCTTGGTTTAAGATAAGTGTCAAGTTCTTTGATATTAAAAATATTTAAATTTTGTTATTGTGCTGGAGAATTACATTATTTTTACCTATCCGTATTATAGCTAAATTGAAAAGAGCAACATCACTAACTAAAGTATGAATTCTTTGGAGGCTCCAGGAAATTCTGAATGTTTACTGGCAAACACTAAATAAGATAGCCCTGCTCGGCAGTCCTTCTTATGTGTAGCTCCCAAGTGGATCATGCTGAAGTACTAATTTGGAAAATAAGTGGCTACTAATACTTCCTGTTATTCTTTCCCCCATATCAGCAGCCCCATACTGAATATAATACATTACAATATACACAAGAAGACAATCTTGTATCTTTAATTAAACCTTTCAGAGTAGTAGCTACTCCAGTTCTATATTTATTTATTCACAGTATGATCCTATACATAACTACTCAGAAGCTTTACTGTTAGTTCAGTGGGACTTCTGTAAATGAGGATGGGATTATAGCTTTCTTCTTGGAATCGCCCAGAGTTCCCCCATTGGGGGGAGATAGGCGGTTGAAAAATTTAATAAATAAATAAATTAAATTAAATTAAACTGGATTAGAATCAGAAGTTCACTGGGAAAGGATGCCTTGGGGAAGATCCATCCATTTGCTAGTCTAGTTCTGGTTATGACATAGTAGTTTAAGAGTTCAATATCTGATTTGCATTAATTGATAGTAAATACCCTTCGAGGAGCTGAAAAGGTTTAGTGTTAGCAGCAGTGCAAACTCTGTGTAACATCCAAAATAAGGAAACTTAACAATTTTAAACTGAAATGGAAGGGGTTGGAATGTTATCTCAATAATCTTTATATGTGACTTCTACTTAGGAGTTTCAGTCACATGAATACAAATAGGCAAACTTCTTTTTTTTTTTTTATCTGGCTTTCCTTTTTCCTGGAACTTAATAATTAAAAATAAGGAAACCAGGCAGTGAACATCAAATCTTCAGAGCCATGGGAAGAGACAAGGCTAATCAGCCATGACCAAGAAATGGGTCCCTTGGTTACATGTAGGTCATATACAGTTGTTGATCTAGGAAGTGGTTTTGGGAGTAGTTTAGGCTTGTTCTCATCCAGAACATTTTGAACCACTTCTGGATTGGACAATTTACTTCCAGAAATGGCTAGACTGCCCTTGTAACAGCATGATCTGGGACAAGTTCAGCATGGTCTACAAGGAAATGGACCATTCTGACGTTCTCAACTTTCCATTTTTGGAACTGATAAACCTTGTATATGCCTAACTACATGGCAGTTGGTTCCAAGCCAAATAAGGTCCATGTGTTACCCATATGTATAATAAAGGAAAGTTAGTACTATGATATAATAGGGAGCAAATTAAATGCTTCTATTAGTTATTGTAACAATTTTCTGAACCAGAAAGAAAACACACATTTCTTTGCAGCCCCAAAGTGTATTCTTTTATTTAGAGGTCAAAAACTTGTATATGTTCTTTGTCACATATCTTTTCACTATCTAGTATACTAACTTTTCCAGAGTTTTAAAATCTCTCTTGTCATAGACCTGGAATATGGGACTAATGAAGAAAATAACCATCTGACTGTACATGTTAATTAGTAGATGAAAGCTGCTTGGCCTAGGGGCCCCGGTATAGGTCAGGTATTCCAAATTGTTCGACTTCTGAAAATCCGACCTTATGAGTAAATTATTCAAATAGGGAAGAGGGTAATTTGGAGGTAGTGGAAAGGCAAAGGAATAAGCAGGTAAGAGATTCAGGTCACATTGGCAACTTCAGTTTTGGCTGATATGAATGGGAAAATATGATTTCCAAATCTATTTTGAAGTTCCCAGTGAATAAGATTTTAATGTCAATTTAAAATGACTGCCAGTGTTTTTCTATCTAAACTGATTAAAGCTACAGTCCTTAGCGTGCTCATGTGAAATCATGTGCTGTTGAGTATTTTAAACAATATATAGGTAGTCCTTGGTTAACAACCATTCATTCAGTGGCCATTTGAAGTTATGACAGTACTGAATGAGGAGACTTATGGCCAGTCCTCAAAGTTGCGGCCGTTTTAGGATCCCCATGGTCATGTGATTGTGATTTGGGTGCTTGGTAACTGGCTTGCAGTTATGATGGTCACAGCAGCCCGTGCTCACATGATTGCCATTTGCATCCTTCACTGCCAGCTTCCAACAAGCAAAGTTAATATGGGGAAGCCACCAGGAGGTTGCAAATGGCAACCTCCTGGGACATTGTGCCTAATGAGCATGTAGGATTTGCCTAATGACAGCTGCTGGAACTGCTATTGTAAGTTGGTGCAGTTATGTGATGTCACACTTTACAACTGCATTGCTTAGTGATGGAATTCCCGGTCCAGTCCCAGTTACTGTTGTTAACCGAGGACTCCCTCTAAATATGGCTGGAGTATAACATTATTTTATCTTGGCATGTAATTGAATCTTAAGGTATGAAACTGAAGTCATTTTTGTATTTAACAGGAGGAGTAAGTGCAAAAATGAGGAGTAGTTATCTTACCTTCTCAAAGTTTTCATTTCTTCCCACCAGATACTGATTTAATTAAATTCTACCTTATTTGTTTTATCTTGATCATTACATAAAACATGTATATTATATTTACAATTATTACTTTTCTGGTTGATAATTTCATTAGTTACCCATTGGGGAGATGGGTGGCAAATTTAATAATAAATAAATAAATTTAATACAAATTTAATAAATAAATAAAGTAAGTAAGTAAGTACACTGTAGCAATTAAATAAGAATAAGTTGTACCCATTTACCTGGAGTAAATCCTATTGAACTTTGGATATACAGCATTTATGTGGAGAGAAACCAGAAAATAATGAGTGGGGTGGGGGGAGGGGGCAGGTTACAACCGAGAAGTAGGATAATCGAAACTTTACTGGTAGACTTTTGTTTCCATGGGTCCTAATGGGGAAGAATTTCGTGAGACAGTTTCTAGGCTCAAGAGAACTGTTATGTCAGTATATTTCAGTTGCCTTCCAAGGCCTTGAAGAGAGCAGCAAAGTATCTGTTGACTTGGAAAGGTGGGAAGAAGAAGCCTAGAACTGAAATCCTGGAATGTAGACCTGTATATAAGCTTTGATTGCTGGACACTGCAATAGACATATTCTGTTGTATATGGTTTTTTTCCCCCAAGACT